TATATATATATATATATATATATATTTGACATACGCACTAATTAATTAATTTCTTTTGAATTGTTAATTAGTATGGTTGTGATAGCGATATTTTTGCCTAAATTTTAACATTTTAAGCACAAGTGGTCTTATTCTTAAAAATCCAAGAAAAAAATGTGTTAGAATCCTATCATCCGGACTCATCCAAATACCAACGATTATAGTAATATATTTGTTTCTCTCTATTTTTCAGTTGATGTATTATGTTTATTTGTGAGTGCAGTGAAAAAATGACCTAAGAAAATCTAGTAGTATATAAAATAAAGCTATTTTATAATTTTTAAAATTATTTTAAAGCATTTATTAAGAAATTAATTAACCTCTTAAAAGGTTTTTAAGCAGAAGCTCAAATATCGATTTCTCATGCCCAATCCGACCCCATGATGCGAGCCCGCGCCATGTGTCTATAATTCGACCCCCCCACGCACTACGGTAGGGATTGAACCCTTGCCAGTGACCTTGCCTACCAACTGAACAATGAATGCGGTACACACACACAGATATATATATATATATATATATATATATATGGTATGAAAAAAGAAATTATCATCATACAAAAAATCACTATTACAGTAGAGAATCATTATAAAATTGATATTTTTATAATCACTTAAAAACATATAGTAGAATTTAGTTCTACACTGAATCCTAAAGATGTATACTGATAATTCAAAATCAAGCTATTTAAAATTAAGTTTTTTAGAACCCTTCCACACTTTTTGATTTATATCAATATTGACTAAGATAAAAAAAAAATCAATTATATTACATTTTATTGGCTAAAACATACAGAAATACATATATTGAAAATCAAAGATGATTGTCTTCTAAGAAGTTCATTGATAACATATACTGAAAATAATATTGTGACGAGCATTGATGTACAATCAATATTTGATATTTTGATAAGGACTGTATTGGAAAAAGTTCTTTTGTTTTAGCTCTTCTCTCCTCAAATTATGCTTCCTTCACTGCTTATTCATCTCATAGTTTAATTATATATCAGGAATATAACTAAATTAAAAAAATAATTACTGTTAATTTATTAGATTGTAAAATTGAATAATTAGATAAATAAATTAATTTTATGATCTAATAATATTTTATATCTTTTTTTAAAAATAATTGTATCATTTAATAATTTACTTACATTAAGAGATAATATATAATGCATGAAATTTAAAAAAAACATATTTAATAAAACTAGTTATATCCTAATGCATAACTTATCAGAAACCCCTTGGAAAATGCTAGCTTTTCATTAAAATAAAAAAGGCATTGCAGGTTAACAAGGCATGCAGGCTATAAGAGAAAATACTACATCCGGTTAATCGGGCTGCGTTCGGCGGCGTAGTGTGATTCATGCCTCCATCCATACATCCGTCGTCTGCACGTAATATTTTCTCATGCTATAGCATCTTACTTTTGTAGTCATACATACTTAACACAGAAAACATACATCAATATATATGTATTATTACTAGCCCATTTCAGTAAGTCGGCCAATATCCCTCCAGCTCCATGCACGAATCCTCCAAATTCTGAAACCTCGTGGCACCAAGAATATTGTTGGCACCACCAAACCCAGATTCACATCCTGCAATGCAACTTCCAACAAATGACGGCGATGATGACAATGATGATAACTGCGGCAACATCAGCTGCGCCTCTGCTGTGTTCAGTATTGGTGAATTCAAAGACCGAATCAATGGCTGCTGTCCTCCAAGGTTGAGGTTGAGGCCGGCGAGGGAGGAGGAAGGCGGCGTTGGAAAGCAGCTTCCGTTTGGATATCGGAGAAGTTCGGCGAGATTGTGGGCGTGGGTTCTGGTGGTGCTGAAAAGGGTTGGGAGGATGGGAGGGCCGAGGATGTTTAGGCTGCATGGGTTGGGCAGGGATCGGTGGGATTGGGTGGTGGATGAGCTTTTTTTGCTGTTGGAGTTGCTTTTCAGGATGACACGGCAAACTACCCACTCGTCTACCTGCCGAAGCTTCAAGTTTATATTTCTGAGATTTTGTTGATTTGGAAATATACGTGAAAGTTTAAATTTCATGCATGCAGAATTAACATGTATTTTTTTCTTAAAAGGAATGGTTGAGGGCTATTATTCGAGCTCCGATCATCCCTAATGCGCCTAACTATTCTACCAAATCGATGCTCTACCAACTGGCTTGAAGACGCGGCACTACAGAATTAATATGTATTTAATATATTTTTAATTATCATGTATTTTACATATATTATGATGAATGTTTATTGGCTAAAGCATCAAAGTTATAAATCTCATGCATTTAAATATCTCACACCCAAACTTCTTTATCTACACACACACACACACACATATATATATATAATATTTTTTGGGAGTGAAATACATGCATATGTTTAAAGTACCAAATTGTTATGTACGTAAATATGAAAGTTTAGTTGTGAGATATAGATGTAAATACTTGAGAATTGTGTGCTATAGATGCATACCTCCTAAATATTACAAATTCTTATATTTTTACATATCTTACACCTAAATTTTTATATTTACATAAAAAGCACTCCAATCAAGAACTAGTGTTATATTAAAACTACAAATATTACCATCATTATCAATTTTTTCTTCATTTGCTTAAGCATGGTGGTAAGTTAAAAGTAAATGGTGACGTCATTATTGTATCAAGTGAGTAATAGGTATTTACATTTATTATGTTGTTTAATAGATTTTCATTCATTTTAATTAAATTAAAATCAATATTGAGTATAACTAATAAATGAAGAAGCTTTGGTCCTCTTTTCTCTTCCAAGATAGCTTGAGTTTTGTTGTCCTCAAGCTGTGCCCATCCCTCACCTTCAATCACTTTATAGAGACTTAGGGCCTAGAAATGCCTAATTTGCATAACTATTACTTATTATCTTTATTTCCATGTAAGTTTTCTATTGTCTCCAAGAGAATTTTTGTTTTCACTTTTATCCTTACATCTAAAGATGCAATCCTTTTATTTGAGGGGTCATCATCTAAAATATTTGTTCCTAATATTTCATAAAATTAACCAAATGTTTGATCCAACAAATGTAATCATTTTTAAAATTTTTTAAATTATATCCACAATTAACAAAATGAACCCTTAAAATATTCTAATTACTATTGCAAATTTTTTAAAATGTAGTTAAAAGCAACATCTTTAGCAAAACAATTACACTCATGTTCTCTGGAGCAAATCAATAATCTTATTATTCAAAAAATATATATTGGATAATCATATTGTTTAGTTATTATTTTTTCTTATGCACCAAATTAAGCATGATAAAGGGGTATATATATATATATATATCCTAGCATGCATGCAAACATGAAATTAAGTCATACCATAAGGTTTCCATTGAAGCCAGACTTGGCCTGCAAACGATACTCATGCATAACCCAATTAGTCTTCTCTCCTCGTGGAGCCCTTCCCTTATAAAACACAAGTGTCTTCTTCATCCCTGCAAGCTCCGAGCTTCTGCAATCGTATATCTCCTTGTCCTTCCCTGTTGTCTTCCAGTATCCTGCGTTTGTTGCCCGGTTGGTCCTCATTCCTGTGGGATACTTCCTGTCCCTTAGACTGAAGAAATACCATTCTTTCTCGCCCATCTTCGCTTTCCCTAAGTACAATAATCAGCAAAGTAATGTTATATAATTGTGATCATTATCTTTGTTCAGGGTTTAGGGTAATGGTGGAGTGCACCAAGGTTTTCTGTAATTCTTGGATGATTTGTTGATGCTCAAGTCTGAGTAGTTAACTAATTTTGGATGAAGTGGTGTGGTGGGTAACCAAGAGAGCCAAATAATTAAGTGGATACCAAAAATATTTCTGTATTTTTGTATTTAACTTGTTAAGTTTCATTCTAGGAAAAAAGTTTAATTAACTTTGAGTCTATTTGGGACAGTTGTAGCTTATTGAATAATCTGCTGATAAATTAGGTGCGGAAACTATTACAAATTTTATTTTTTAGAAAAAATGAGATCGTTGTCAGAAAACTGCCACCGAACCTAGATAGGTATGAAGTTGCGGTGTGAAACGCTGTTTTCAGCATTTTGAAAATGCATAAGCTGTCAAAACGCATCTTACCTAAGCAGGCCAGGTTTTCAAAACGCCACAACACCAAATAAGCAGCCCCAAACAAACCCTTAATTAATACGGTTTTATTCATGAATCCAACTTGATGAAGGTATAGTAATGGTGCAGATTATATGGGGAAAACAAAATTGCTCAAGATATTCTAACCTTCGCAAAGAGTAGAAAAGCCTCCAAAGATTTAGCAACTAGCACTAATTAATAATAAAAATTTATCATTTTTGAAGTAAGAAGAAAAACCTACTAGAGACACTGCAGATTGTCTTTGCTTCTTAGAAGAGAAAAAGTATGTTCAGGTTTTGGCCAATAATGATAAAAATTATTAATATTGGTTTGGCTGCGTACCAGGGAGATCCCAAGGCTCACATTTGTTGAGATCAACTTCTGCAATTGCTCTGGCTGTGAAATTGCACTTTGTGATCTTATGTGTGAGATAATAAGTGATAAGCTCTTCATCTGTGGGATGAAATCGAAATCCAGGAGGGAGTTTCTCCTCCTCAGCATCTCCACCTTTCTTCTCTTCTTCATCCCCTTTCCTATTATCCTCCATGCTTCTATCTCTTCTGTGATAGAAGAGATATTGTTACAGTTTGAATGAAAAAAATATGTAGGCTTAGAAATCAGGGAGTGAAGAAACGAAAAAGAATACAAATTGTTGGTTCTTATCACATAATTATATAGTAAGAGAGAACTTTTCAGCTAGTTGGGGAAGTTAGGTTTAACACGGAAGCCCTAATTCTATTAATACAATTGAACATTGCACTTACTGTTCTGCTGGCTAAGTTTTAAGGAATATTGAGTATGAAGCTTTTAGAGGAGAGAGAAGGGAATATTTTATGAAGCTTTTATCTTCAATGGCCCATCCTTGAGAAGGTACTTGCTAGCTAGACATGTTTCATTGTATTTTGGAGTTTTTTTTGATGAGTGGCTCAAAATATTTCTTTTCAAATTAGTTAATTTTGTTTTGTGTTAGTAGTGTTGTGATGGTAATTATAATAGGATAGTTATGCTATGTTCATAAAACTAATCTTCTCAATATGTAAGGCTTAAATATGTTTAAGAGTGACAAAAATTTACTCACTAAAATAGATCAAGCTCATGAGTGTAAATAAAATTAAAGAGAAGCTCCAATGATTTAATTAAATTTTTATAATGAAGTATAGAAAACTAATATTATGTGGTCCTGTAAGAATGGGATGAGTTCATCATTTTGCATCTTATTTATTTGTTAAAGAATAAGATTCAAGGTAGTATAAAGGACTTCAAATATATTATACTTAATAAGTCTTACAAAAATTATTTTAATCATGCATGAATCTTGAAGCATTTTGATTAAAATAATTTCAAATATGAATTCATGATCATCCAAGCTCCAATTCATCTTAAAATCAAACTGAGCGCCTTAACGGGACGAATGCAACAAAGCTAAATATGGCCCAACTCTAATCAAGCCTAGATCATATGGTTTAAGTGTAAAAGGAGGCTTTGGATGGTTGATTGAATAGTTAAATGGATTCCAAATCCGAGAAGTTTAAAATCAAACCAAGCACCTTGATAAGAAGAATCCAACAAAGTCAATATACATTTTGTGTTAAAAAACGGACGCAAACCAAACACAAACCTGTAACGCAGAAAAAAAAAATTAGAACATAGATTTCAATTTCACAATATGCACCAAAACACACTCCACATCACATATCACATTAAACATAGTCGTATCACAGATCAAATCACAAAACAATTTCATTACTAAAAGGGAGATACTATCTCAAATCATCACAAGTAAGAATAGTGAGTTAATCACAATAATTTCAGAAAAAAATGTTTGACATAATGCTTACAATAAAAGAAAATATAAGAAAAAAAAACTACTCATCATCTCCATCCTTCTCCTCCTCTTCCTGCACGAATGTCATTCGTTGCCCGCCCAGCTATATGCTAAGGTCCTTGCCATGCCCACTATAGATTTCTCGACTCAATCTTGGTCTTGTAGTATCTACTCGCTCAATTGGCGGATCTCCTCGTTCATGCAGCCACCTTCCTTGCAAGAGTCTCTGGTATGGTTGTGAGGATCTAGGGGAATTAAGAGCGGAACCACGAGAGAGCTCAACTTCGATGGTTATGCCCTTTTCCCCAAGTCCATAAATCCTCCCTTTCTTCCTCTCTGTCTTCTGGGTCCAAAGCTTGTACTCTGAATGCACAGTGGTAGACTGACTACCGTTGTTAGTGGCGTCAGTTTGGGCCTGAGTGGCCAAGTACCTCTCTCAGAGCTGCTTGAACTCCTCTTGCATGATGAAAATTAGCTTTTTATTGACACTTTCAACAGTTAGAGTAAAAAAAAAACTTTTAATTTAAGCTTTTTAACTTGCAGCAACCCGTCGGGAATGCCTCAAGATCCACTTCGCAGTCCCCTGACGATGATGAGTTTGGAAATGCAGTTTCGTAATGGAGGGAGTGTGACTCAACTCCTTGGCCTATGTAGCGTATAAAAATGGTTAGCGCTAAAAAAATACTCCAAAATTTGAATTAATTTTTAATACAAAAAAAAATCTTAATAGTCTCCTGTAGTGTTCTGTGTGGGGAACCGATCCACCAATATTGAGCACAGCTCCCCTAGCCCCCTCCATCACCTGATTCACTCAGTTCGTCTGCCTCTTTCTCTCATAATCAGTAGAGGCCTAAGCTGTGATCAACTTATACCAGAGCCCCTCACCAATTCAGGCAGGCTGCTCGACCCTTCGACAGACTGTCATGAGCATGTTGACAAGTTCCAGCAACAGGTGGGGGTGAAGGTGTTAAAGTAGCAACGGTCAAAGGATATGAGGCGACATCAGGTATGGGAGTAGGTACCACTGGAGAGGTGACAACAACAGATGTGGGAGGAGGTGCCGCAAGAGGTGTAGCAGTAACTGGTGGGGTAGGAGGAAAGACAACAGATGTGGCAGTAGTAGGTGGGGGAGGAGGTATCAGAGGAGATGCAATAGTAGTGGAAGCATCAATAAGAGTTGACGACCTCCTCTTCCTGCTACGCTACGGTAGGTGGTCTCAAGGGTTCCCATAACACAGGGTCTATGAGGTGGCTGATCGCCTGCACCACCTGTGGTCATATGCAAATAAAGGAATCACATTCAAAAGATCAATACTGGCAGAAAAAAAAATAATTATAAGCAAGAAAGAAATAATGCAGTAAAGGGAAAACACAAGTAACAACTATATCTAAAAACATGAAAAGTGAGAGTAAAGAGCTATGCCTCAAAATATTCAATCCATATCATAACAATATTATATCCAACTACATCACAAATCAAAAATCTTAAGAATATCAATACTGAAAAAAGATATACTGTCACAGAACTAAATGATCAAAAGTTTACATCTACACCCTAATCATTATAAGTTCAAATATTTCATAAATTAAAAATATATAAAAACTTCTTCTAATCATCCTACTCATCCTCCTTCTTTTTCCTCCTCCTCAACTAAAACAATCACAGTTTGCTTGCCCCAATGATCTTCTATAATATTTTTCAGCCGTGATATACTCCACTCAATTCTCTATTGGCCTTCACGTAGATGGTGAACTCCTAAAAAATGCCATTGACCTGTCTTGCAAGCTTTGTGGTACTCAAGTGTGGGGAGCTCGTGTCACCCATAAAAGCACTAGAGAACTCGACCTTCTTCTTTCTCGCCGCTTGCGTCCATAGCTCAAACTTAGATTGTGTAGTGGTAGACTAACTACCATTACTGCTGGCAAAGCTCGGTGTTTGGGAGGGTGACTGCCTCTCTTGAAGCTTCCAGTGCTCCTTCTAAAAAGTAAGTCAATCATTTATTTTCATTTTAAAAATTAGGAGTCAAAATAAAAATGAAAAAAAATCAAAATTTTTATTTATGTTCCCCAGCTGAGATGGCTGATCACCAGCATTACCTGTGATTATCTATAGTATGACTAACAATAAAAATAATCAGGAGCAATATACACAAGTAAAATGAGAAATGCACAAAATCTAAGCAGGAATTCATAATAACTATGTCTAAAGCAAAAATAAAAATAGGGCAGGTATGACATACATAGTAAAAACAAATAAAAAGTTCATGGATATATTCATTTTAAATTTTGTCTCTTAGTGTAAAGTCACTCATACACATTAACATAACTCTAAATTAACTTGCTTTTATGCTAACATTCTGCACCATAAAACATTACAAGCCTCACCGTCGTCTCATAAAATTTATGTTCAAATCTATGTGGTACTTTTCTTGCATAATTGGTCTTATGCATTACTTCGCTTCAACCATCCAACTTGAAGTGAAAATAAACCAAAAATATACATTAACATAAGCATAGGATAACCCATTAAACCTAGGGTTCTAAGCTTTCAAGCTTGACATTTCCTCTCAACTCACTCTTCTAATTTACATTAACTAACCTAAACCTAAAATGACAAGATATAGTGCTAAAACTTAAACAAACTTAAATTAACCAAATGAGAGAGTGAAGAAGAGGAGAAGGGGGAAGAGCTCTCTCCATAATTTTTCCTATACATCTATTTTTTACATGCATACCACATATGAATGGAAATAATGGCACGAATAGGTTTACATTCTTCAATACTTTCTGATAGGAGTGGAGCTGAAGGATGAGGGGAGTTTCGGTTGTTTCTATAAGAACGATTCGGTTGTTCCCTCCCCAGCTAGCTCTAATGGCAACTGTATCGCTAAGGTTTGTTCGAGAAGGCGATGGTTTGGAGCAAAACCATAAGGGAGAGGAAGAGGGAAAGGGGCAAGGGAGCTTGAATGGGTTTCAAAAAGAAGGGGAGATCGATAGATGAAGTGTGAATAAATGAAATTTAGGCGAGCGGGATGAATTATTTTGGTTATTTGTGTCAGATTTTTGTCTAATTTGCTTCAAACAAATTTTGACCTTAACAAGTAAAGTTTTTTTGCTTCACTTTATTCAATGCCAACATCATCGCCACTCCAGATGAAGTTTCATTCTTTTCAAAAAACTTCGTCAAAATTTTTTGACGAAAATCTTGTAAAGATCAAAATTTATTATCCACCTCTTAATAGTAGCAAATCCGATGTGAATATTTGCGTACAAAAATTCTAACAAAAATATCAAACGCTAATGGCAGCTCCTCCTATAGTGTGCCCATCCACTGCCATCCAGACGTTACCACCACCACCTAATTGTAGTCATTGTCAGACCACCACTGCATATGCTCCATCGCTTTTGATGTCATATTACTACCGTCGACTTGTTGCTTGACCATCACCATCTCCGTTGCTTCTGCTGATATTGACATCAGACATTCTGGCACTCAAACTTTACCATCAACTTTTCTTCTCAATAGTTGGGCCACCACCACGTTATCAGCATTTTCTATCACTTTGCTAGCGAAAGTCGCATCTCACTTGTGTAATATTGTTTCCGCTATTCAATGTCAGTAAAGTTTTGTGACCTATATTGGTACATTACAATCATTTCAATTGGACCAGACTCCATGATTTTGCGCCTTTGGCCGGTTTTCAAGATAAAAATTTTTGCTGTCTTTTCTATCAATTTATTTTTTACTTATGTGTGTGTTAGATCTTTATAATGAACACCGACTCAAATAAATAATTCTACATG